CATTGGATGCTGACCATCACTATTTAAGTCGACTTGTTTAGCTGAAGGCTTCCGATCAAGCATCCCCGCCTTTTGGTACTCCGTCGTGTCACGTGCACGATCACTAGCTAGCTAAGCGTTCGTCTAACGGCTTGTTTTGGTTCCGAAATATATTACGAAGTTTGGACGATCAATTATTGGCTTTTGCTTTGTCTTTGGTACGCGAGAATAAAATAAATTAGAAGTTGCTGAACGAGATATCCGTCAACCTTTAAACTATCATTCCTCACCCCTTGATTTGATTGGTGGTAATATTTTCATGTCTCTGGTATTAGTGATGAGTGATTCTTATCGCAGTGCACAAGATCTATGCTTATATTATTCATCAATTCAGCTTTAGTAATTTCATTTCTCCGACGTCTATCACACATCATATAAGGTATGAAGAATGAGACGAAGGAATGCTCATGCTCTTCAGAGGATAAGTCAATAACAAATAAAATTCCATTTGATAACTTAGTATTCATACACTCGAGTGAAGACTTAACGAAGAAGCTCTCTGACAAGTGCTGTCGAACTAACTGCTCAGGTACTTCACCTGGTTTTCCTCCCATTTTGATGACGTCGTAATTAATAGAGCTTATTTCCAAATCGTCATCTTAACTGTACGATGGACGGACATGAGAATTTTGCCTCATCTAAGGTTTATGTGGGAGAAGCGTTTTGGCGTAGACAGAAATTTCAAGCAACACACAAGTAGTAGTTTTCATGGGAACAAAACATTTGGTGTAAAGTACACTGCGTCTCACTACTGTCAGTGATCATTCCTCTTCGAAAATCATGTGGTAAAATCATTGGCGGTTGTGCAGAAAACACGTCAGCCCCCATATTGGCCCGTCAAATTTTCCTTCACTGTGAAGATATGAGTCACTGGGAGGCTGATGTGAGATGATAGTGCTTGACTTATAATTGTGTTAGTTTGTCTGTCTGTTTTCGACATAGAACTTCGCACCGATGAGCGACAGTTCGAGTCACCACAGTCCATGTAGCACAAAAAGCAAGAGAAGAAATGCATAATAGAGACAGTAAACCGAGGTGTGAAACAAACGAATAGTATTAACGAAGAACAATATAGTTCCATTGGAAATCATAAACCATAAGGAGTGGATGCATCTGCGCCATTGAGAACGATTTTGAGCCATATCACCAATTGTTTCCAACCATTGGTTTTTACCGTCGCGAGGACCCCAACCAGGAAGTCTACACCTTCCTACGTGGCTTAGACTAACTGTTGTGGATTTCATTGACTGGTGCCATGTTTTTGTTTGACCTCCGCTAGCTGTTTTCCAGCCTGACCCTATATCACCTAACATTGCCCATCGAGAAAGGCGATGACTAGGCTAGGTATATGTAACACATGTCCTAACCATCTCAGTCGATGTGATTTCACAGCCTCACTGTCGATTGATTTTCCCTCCTCACCTAGCATTCGACGCCTAACCTCAATATTACTCAGCTTATTATACCACTTCACACGGGAGATAGAGTGCAGGCACCTATGATCGAAGACAGCTAATCTTTTCATATCTTCCACTCTCAATGGCCAGGTCTCACAGCCATAAAGGAGGACGGAGCGAACTGATGAGCAGTATACACGCCCTTTGGTCGATAGTTTAGTTTTCAGGTGTTTCAGATGGTGGGCCTCGTGCCATGTGGTAATCCTTGTAGTGAATATCTGAGTGGAGACACAGTCCGTCTTTGAAACGTTCGTCGTTTAGTCTGTCTCTCTATCTGTAGGTCGGAGGAAGATGAACCGATTGTAAGTTCAATTCGTTGACCAACCAATTCGGGATTCTGAGTTCCATAATTAGTTTATTCGATGTCAATCTTCATCTCTATGTTGATGGACTAGAACTGTGAGATCCCTTTAAAGATACAGTATCTGCGAAGTGATGATTAACATAGGTATAAATATCCCTTCTGTTTTCGTTGATGAGCTGTGAGACTGCTTTCACTTAGTGATAATTCAGACACAGCATTGCCTACTGTTTTCAGGGTACAAGGGTTAGGCTTGTGGGAGTCAAGGAATGCCAGACTGTATTGAGTAATCAGAATGAAGTATGTGAGATTTACTATAACATACTTATATTCCCTCCTTGCTATTCTGAGGGATTGGAGGATATTTTCATAGGTTTCATTTTTTTGGTTGTTTTTTCCGTGGTGTAGTGAGGTTGTTTTTCTGCGTTTTCCTGGTTACCGTTATTACCGAAGTTTTTGATTTATTTTTCTGGCGTTTGTTTTTTTCGGTTCTTTGGACTTGTTTTTTTCTATCCTCGTATTTAGTCACCTGCTATCGTTAAATCATCATAATTTTTGTGGGTGACATTTCTATGGATTTTTTACCAGTGTTTTTATTGTAAAACGTATGAGTGCGCCATTTGGACTTTCTTTTATAAAAACGGAATGTCGAAATCTGGCAGTGGCGGAGATATTTTTAACATCACTTCGATATGATCTCATTGCTGATTACCTTGTGGGTTTAGGAAGATTAGTTGATAGATGTCGACACCCTGTTATAGGTGTGAAATGTTGTGCTCTATCTATTCACGTATAACCTAGAGTATTGTTCAGCGATCACTAACTACTTTTTGAATTTTTTCTACAATTGATGGTATCAACGTACATTTGACCTAGTAGACTAGCTACGATCACATCGAATAACCTCAGCTCTTAGTGGTAAAGCAGGACTCCCTAGTTTCACTTCAGACGCTTGTCCATCCAATCAAAAGTTAGGGACGCGCAAACAAACCAATTTATTGTGTACCCGTTTAAACTGTAGAGTACATCAGTCAGCATTTAGGACGAATTAATTTTGTTTTCTACACATTAAAACAGTTTCAATGACAAGGCCTTTAAGTGGTGAGCAATACATTCTGCTTGAGACGTCATCAGATATGACCAAGAACCTCAGTCAATGGCGAACATGATGAAATTTTCTTCTTTCTTCAGTTCCTGAAAGGAATATTAAGTAAAGACTATTTTTTGAGTGATTTCAAGAAGCACGACAGTTGCTTACTGGATGACATGCCTAACTAATCCTATCCCTATTTTGTTTACATACTGTAGTTCTGTTATTTTTGTGTGGTGAATCTAGTGGTGCCCACAACGTAAGAAGTTTGTGTTGACTGTAGTAGTAGTAGTAGTAGAAATAAATACATGTCCATCCTGCCTGGCTTTGGTATTCATATCCATGTCGCCTGCTGCCTAGATAAGTGTAAGAGGTGAAGTCCTTCAAACTTCGTCCCTTGATAGCGATTGGTGCATATTGTTGTTGGTTAGGTATCTTCATCATCCTATTTTCTTTGTGTTCAGTTGAAGCCGCTGTCTGCTTCTACCCACTTGATAGTGGTTTTCACCTGGAGATATTCGAGTTTACGCGACACTAGACATAAGCCACAGATGAAGTCCAGAACTCCTAGTCTTTTTGTCGGTACAACCCAAGCTTGTCTTCTCGCTCACCAGGATCTATTCTATCGTCCAGTCCACAGCAACCAGAAATATCACCGATGATAACAGGTAGCCTTGTCTCACTTTTGTCTTAACTTCAAACACTTTGGTAGTCTTTCCACTGTGAAACATTTGGAGTATGGCGTAATCATATGTCTGCTGAATGAAGTTCATAAATGTACATGGCGCTGCACTATGTAGTACTGAAGCAGCTTCCAAATTACTGCGTGACCAGCGCTAGCCGCTTTAAAGTCAAGGCATAGATCTGACTACCATTCTACGCTCTGTTTAATAATACTGTGTAGCGTTGCAATTTGATCTGCACATGATTTACTTTTTTCAAACTCCAGCTTGTTTGGGTAGGAGTTTCGCACCCAAAGCATCTTTTAGTCTCCTCAGGATGAGGTTACTAAATATTTTGCTTGGCATGGATAGGAGCATGATTCCGCACCAGTTCCTGCTGAGGTGTATGTCACACTTCCTCGGGAGTTTGGCAAGGTATCCCCTTCTTCCATTTGGCGAGTACTTTCCCTTCCGTACAAATTTTCTGCAATAGTCATGTGAGCATTTATGCTGAGGTCTCCGTATGTTTTCAGTGCTTCTGCTGCTTTTGTGGCTTTCAGTAGCCCCTATAGCATTCAAGATATCTGCTTTTGTTGGAATATTGGTATTCACTAGTAGTTCTACGACCATTGGTGGTATTTCTGGATGGCGAAGGGACATCTGGGACCCTATGTACGGGAGAAATCAGTGTTACTCAAACCTACACACTCAATCAATGACATGCCCCGTAAGTTAAAGGACCTTATCGACCCAATTACGCAGAATAATTCATTCTACAAAATACTTTACAATGACTGTGAAGTTAGCTACATAGGTCACTTCAATAGGTCGTGGTCAGTCAGACTATCGAAACATAAAAATTCAGCTAAGAGTAAAATAATTTATTCCGGAAAGATGAATAACTTGAAGAAAAACTACCCAGTGATCGCAATGTTAAAGCATTAATCTAGATCTTCAGTTATTGGAGGTAGTCACGAAGAGAATTTTCAGCACTTCATACACAGTTTAAGCTAATAATTCTTAAGCTTAATCTTTTGTGTAACCAGTTGATCGAAATGTGTACCATTAACTCTGTTAAACGCTGTGGTAAAATATTCAAATTACTTGCTGAAAATAACTGTTGTCGTATCCCGATCCTACCGACACGACAGGTTCACAACCTACTCTAAATAAAAACCACGATTTACTGAAGATGCTCTAAAAAGATTTAGTAACCTGCAACAAATACTGTATAGAAGTTAGAAGCAAAAAAACTCAAGTTCAAGGTTCTGTATATGGCACTAACCGAAATACACAGGTAACCAAATCCAAACAAATTATTATTTAAATCATCCAAAGATAAAAGGAAGTTCATAATGGGTGAAAAATCTTCCTCATTCAAAATAACTGTCAAATTAAATTAGTCGGTAATGAGAAAATTGCAAATAAGTCCCCATATTGTAATTATTATATCACTGCTGATATTCCACATAATGCATGGTAGCGACAAGCTGGAAGTAGTTAACACTATACAGCAAAAAGCGAATATCAGTAATTAGCATATGATTGGTTTGAAGATGGTGTATAGTAATTTTGAGCTTCACCGGGGCAGAACCTGGTTTTGACATAATGGTGCTCGGTGGTGGTGGCGGCATATGAGTGCTGCCAGGTTGTGCAGGATTATAAGGACCAGATACAAATGGGCCTTGATTTGTGGGTCCAGATGGCCGAGTGGTTGTAGAAGTCATACTTTGGTTGGGAGGACCGACTGACGGGGGATAAATCGGTGGATACGGCATACCCTGCTGGAAAGTAAAATATGTTTGGTTTATTATATAAAGAGAGACAAGGTTTGCGAGCGAACGAAAAAAGCACACATACACAGACTGGTTAAACTTATACAATCACACTCAAGCATCAAACATAAAACATTCGATGCCTGACGTTTAATAAGAACCATACTAATTAAAATACCGATTTTACTGTTGTCTGTTCTAATGGTTTAGAACTAATCCACTATCATTTACCACTTGTTTTAACTTCCAAATCGTTTGGCTTTTTACTTAAACATCATTAACTACTAATAATAGTACTTGTTTGTGATCGTGAGTGCACTTCATATACTTAATATGTTAGGAACTAGATTTGGCAACCAATGGTAAGAATTTATTTGCATCCCTAATTTAGTTCCTTAATATTGTGTACTTTTACGGCTACCAAATTTGATATTATGAAGTTAAAAAGCCACTATAAGGCACATAGATACGATAAAAGGAAAATAACTATTTAGGCATGAAAAGCAATTGAACTGTGAAACGTCGATAAACACAGGTGTCAGACTACCAAATTCATCTATAGCGAAACGCTTTAATGATACAGATCACAAGATTGACATCAAGACAGCTCTTCAGAGTATCCATAATACAGTCAGCAGCGCCTACTAAAATAAGCTGAGGTTACGGCTATCCATAAAAATAAGCAACCCCCTCCCCGTCCCCTCTATGTGCAAATATAATCTACTATTATCCTTAACTGACCCTGATAATCTTTATCTGACTATATTTCTTAGAGTAGTGTTAATTAACATCTTTCATATCCTCAGTTCACAATTATTTTAATTGACGTTTCATTTTCCACCAAAATCTAATTTGACAAGTAAATACATGATAAGTGTTCGAAATGTACTGCGCAAATACATCAATGTTCTTCAGATTAACTCTCTTTTCCAATAACGCTATCCATATTTAGGTTACATAATAACTAATAAGCAACTAGAGAGTTTATAAATTGAAGTGATTACGATTCAAGACGTGAGAACTTACGTGTGAAATCATTGATGTAGGCTGTTGTTGACCCTGTGACACAGCACTTGAAGAACTAGGTGGTTGTTGCATAGCTGGTCGTTGAGGTAATCCTAAGCCAACAGACTGATCATACGGTGGGACTACTGGTGTGAAAATGTTGGACGATGGATATGGAGGAGTAACGATCATACTGCCAGGTCTGTTGGTGCTCGGAAAGTGTCCACCTTGGCGAATATAGGGACCCATGTTAGGTGATAATTTTGTAGAATTTGCAGGCTGACACATAAGAACAAAATACCAAGAATTCACATGGATTATCGACAAGAGGAAAGATGTTATAGGAAACATTTGTCAAAAACTATTCGTATTACTGTTTTTACTTGTCAAACCTACTTTCTTTTAACAGTTTTGTAGTTTGCGTGGATTACTTCAGTATTGCAAATGAATTTTTTCCTTATGTAAATTGTGTGAATAAACAAGAAGGGAATTCAGCTAAACACTGTGCGTCGGTGGCACAGTGGTTAGGACACTCGCCGACTACGCATATGATCCGGGGGTTCGAAACCCTGCCGACGCATGCCTGATATCTATGGTCGACCTGCAAAATTTGGGCTAACGATATCACATACTGAAAATTCCATACTTATACCAAAAGGTAAAGTGTTAAGTCAAGCTGTAATCAAAATAAAATACAAAATAAATATGACACTTGGAAAAAGAGCCAGTGTACAGACACAATGGATGGAGACTGTATGTTTGTAATCGCCAGGTGCTTGTGTAGCAATAACACTTTTACAGCTATTATTCATCAAACGCAAATCTATTACTACACAGGCACCAAAAAATGCGTCACACAAATTGAGAAAATAGCATAAATGGGAAGGCGAATAAAAACCTAGTTCAAGAATAATGAAGTGAACATAATTATTTATTTATCTGAGCTACTTTCAGACGTAAACAAAACACGACAGTGGTAGCTTTCCATAATTTCGACTCCAATTTACACTCGATAGCAACTCCAGTTCCTAAATGACATACAAGGAGGAAACTGTGATGCATGAACAGAAATTAACTCAACAAAACTGTACTTTATTCCACCTCCTGAAGTTACAGTTCTTTTCAATTAGTTCCAGGGTTAGAAGAGAGCGAGTGACATGACCATCTATTAAACTTTTGTGTCGCAGCCTAAAAACCTATAAGTTGTTGCTAGAGGCACCTACCATTTTCGTCTAACTTTGCATACGGTGATTATCATATTTCGCTGTTCTTTCGTGAGCTTTTCTCAATGACAATTGTGCAGCACAATGAATAAAATCTTGACATCTTACTATCACAAGGTATGTTGTTCTCAGTAATTTTAACGTTGTGAATAAGAGCAGGTCACGTATATAAGAATGTCTAACTATCAAAGCATACTACTTTAAAACTGTTTTAAAAATTGGACAGAACTTCTATACTGCTTAGCTTCTTGATTGAGAAAACACGAGTGATGTCAGAAAAGTAATTGTTATGATAAGCATGGAATTCCCAAAAGTATACTATTGAAAGAATTTTATTCCCGGAGCTCTCAGAACTTTACTCTCTTGTATCCTTTTCAGTCAGTAGAAACACTACATTCACACTCGTGGTCTGACGGAGATTATTTCATGATGACTCGGCCATCGACGAACCATTAAATACGAACATGGTTTCTCTGATTAGACACTAGCTTGTAACTACTATCGTGTCTCTAGTCTTTTCTTTGACTGTACAATTGTGGGATAAATAACACCGTGAATTAAAATAGTAAAGACAGAAATTTAAGTTAGGCATTCCGAGAAAGATAGTTTTACATAATTTATACCATAAAAAAGTAGGATGATATCAAACCAAAATGCAAAACTTATCAAGTGGGACAAACCCTTGAAGGCTGTGTGATAGGCATTGCCATTGTTGATGTCGGCATCATTGGCAACCTAGGAGATTCACTGTTTTGAATTGGGGGTTGTGGATGTGGTGAATTCTGCGATGATAACGGTACTGGGGGTTGCATTGCAGATTGGTTTGTAGAATAGCTTGGATATCCCCCCAAAGACTGTTGATAAAAGGCTGGAGTACTAGACGGATTAGATGGTGGAAGTGGTTGACTGTGAGAAGGTAATGAAGTGGGAACAGGAGAATTGCTGTTTGGCAATGACGGTGAACTTGTCGACACATTAGAATGCATGAATGTTGTAGATGACTGACCAGAGATCACGTCATATTTATTTGTTGACGGTGTTTGAAGTTCCACAGGATCATGATTGTCAGATTTTTCAGATATTGTTAGGTTCTCATTATTTGATGGTATACTTGGTTGTGAAACCGTAGGATTTTCCTAGAAACGTTAGTGATGTGGATTAGAATATACACAAAATTACATTTGACTGTCTGGATATAAATCCTCATGAATTAAAAGCGTGAAATTCTATAATGGGGAAAAATTATTCGGATTTCATCATGAGCTGACATTAGTTAGAGAACCATTGGACATTGGCTAGCGGCCGCGCTATGTCGTGAATTGGCAGAAGTTAGAATGCAAGGACCATTGGATCGGGTATACGAGCTCGCCTTGTATCCGGAAGGTCCTGGGTTCGAATCCCGGTGGGTGCGTACTGCTGAAGAGTCCCAAACTAGGACGAAACAGCTGTCCAGTACTCCCAGGTTTTCCAATGGTTCTCTAACTAATGTCAGCTCATAATGAAATCCTGAAACCAATCAAATCCCTACAAACCAACACTTGAAAAATTATTTGATAAAGTCTCAATGTGTTACACAGTAATATTTACTGATGACGTTTCGATCACGATTCATTGCTCATGATCATATCAAGGGTCTCACACAACTTTCCGAATTCATTTATATGGTTCCATTATTCCTCACCCCTTGATTTGATTAGTGGTAATACTTCCCATGTCTCTGGTGTTAGTGATGAGTCATTCTTACTGCATGTGTAGAGAAAATATTCGACGAAATAGATTTAGAAATCAATTTCTCCGTCTAGCTACTACTCTGCCCAACCTATTGTGTCGTTGTGTTAATGCACTCAGCGCAAAATATATTACTAAATCTTTGTTCATCGAATCTACACTCAACACATGCGATAAGAATCACTCATCACTAATACCAGAGACATGAAAATATTACCACCAATCAAATCAAGGGGTGAGGAATGATAGAACCATATAGATGAATTCGGAAAGTTTTTTGAGTACCTTGACATGATTATGAGCGATGAATTGTGCACCAAACACCACTAGTAAATATTACTGTGAGACTTCATCAAAATAAATTTTACCCATAATGAATTTATCCTCTACCACAATGCCCCAACTTTATCCTTAAATAAAAGAGTAAACGTTTTACTTTCCCGCTGGTGTCTTTTCATAACTCGGAATCATCACATTTATATTTGTGTTCTCGATATACTGGGTCACAGAAAAAAAACTTATATTTCTGAAGAATATAAATGCAACGTGGCGTGCACATTAAGAAGCAACACAAAATACCGTTGATAGGACAGTCAAAGGTTTTTAAACGATTTAAAGGTAGTATATTACCGCAATATTACTTTGGTTAGAGATTAAACAAGAAACCAACAGTATGTTCATCACTAGCTTCAGTTTCGACTCCTATGCAACTACACTAAATAAATGACTTTTGTCAACAGCACAATGTGTCTAGCATTTTTTTTTCAATTTTAAGTAATGTGATGTCACAAATGAAGGTTGGACGAAACTTCCACCTTGAAGACTGAACCACAATGTAATAATGACAATCGCTTAGTGAAATAAAATCAATCCAAATATAAATGCATATTTTGAGGTTAGTGGTTCGAAGCGGGCACTTACTTACTGGTATAAGCTAGATCTGTTACACAGCCACCAGAGATATTTTACACGATAGAATAAATTTTTCTACCTTTAGTCAAACACAGACATATCTACTCGTATAGCAACAGCAAGGTATCCATCAAATAAATAGCCTTCCTAGATGTTCTATATTTCTTTTACATGAAATCAAGAAACTCTCCGAATCACAACAACTTCATAAAATGGCATAACTCAGTCGTAAATAATGTCAATCGGATTTCGCGGTTCTGCAAACTTATTCGTTTTTAGTAAATCCAGAAATCAATTTCTTAGAAAAGGCAGGTTCGTATGGCGTACAGACAAATGTTGACCAGGATTCAATCGAGTAGTGCACTTTCCGTTCTAAAACAAAATGCCATCGCTAGCAAGGACTATCTGTCGTCTTTGCTAACACTTATAGGATGAAATTGGTTGATGATTACACTGACCCAATAAGACCGAATAGATAACAAACATTTATATCATGTATGCCTATTTCCAGGAAGAAATGGAGATGAATTGGCCATACACTGAGGAAACCATCAAGTGACATCACTAGACAAGCCATTGCTCGAGTAGAACCCGAAAGGGAAGCGACGAGTTGGTCGTCCAAAGGTGACTTGGAAGAGGTCATGTGAGGAGGAGATGAAAGCATGTGGGTAGACTTGGAGCGGAGTGAAGAAGTTGGCAGAAAACAGAAGGCAATGGAGACGAGCAGCTGAAGCCCTATGTTCCTCTAGGAATTAAAGGATATAATAATAATAATATAATATTTATTTCAGAAACACAATGCACATATGCTGGACACCATAGTTTTAACTGATGATCAAGGATCTTTTTAATTTGTCATACGTTTTGGGAGCTGTAAGTTGTTACGTGCTTTGAAAAAGCTAAGAATGGTTCTTTATTAGCTTGAAATGTTAGAGGTGGAGTAAAGAGTAGACGTAAAAACGATGAGAATTTAGGTGTTAAGCGTAATACGGACTGCAAGTCTCGATAAGATGCATATCAGGTACTGCTGAAAGGTTGATGCACTGCAATCACCCACATCAACAGACTAGATGTCTTATTGAAATTCGTGACTACTGAGCTTAAATAATACCAATTTACCACCATAGCAATTTTTGTGGCAGTCGAGTAAATGACCCAGTAGTGTTACAGTTATTTGTCAATCTTAAAAGTAAAAGTTTATATTAGCTACAAAAGCACAGGACTTGTGTGTTGCTCAAAAAAACGTTTCAGATATACATTAGCACTTTAAACGTAGTTTTATCAAGAGATTCATATAAACCAAACAATACACAAAAGTCAGCACTATGAAAAAATAATTTTCAATTTGTTTCAATGATAACACTTACATGAGGTTTCGCTTTCGAGATATCATCAGTACTGGAAGCCGACTGTAGCAGGTGTGTCCGTGGATTAGAAGATGATGCAGCAACATTCCTAAGTCGAATATCAGACAGTGGATCAAATTCATTGTTACGCTCCAAATTGTGTGTTGACTAAGGAAAAAAACATATGGAAAACATAAGTATTAAATCATCGGATTTTTTTGTAGCGACACTAAAATGATATAAACGTTAATTAAATTATAATATTCAAGAGTTGTTTTGTAAGGATTAAATTTATTTTTACGAGTTTGACCACGGATTGAAATCAATCAAAGAACCATTGAAAACCAGGGAGTACTGGGTAGCCGTTTCACCGGCAGTACGCACTCACTGGGGTTCGAAACCAGGATCCAGGTTACAAGGCAAGCTCATATAACATTCAGCCACTAGGACCCGATTCAATGATCCATGAATTCTAACTTCCACCAAATTCCTAGGGACGGTATAGATTGTAGGTTTGAAGACTAATTGACTTCTACACCTGCTTAAAATTTTTAAAGGATATCCGTTTTCAACAAGAGTATCCATCAATATTTCATTTTTTTGTCTATAACATCAGCCGTGAAAATACGCTGAATCCTCTGAAATAAGCATTTCACCAAGCCTCTGTTATGCTCTGATGGACAAAAGCTGTGAAAATTAAGGTATTGCACTGTCCAAGTAGGTTTTCCGTAAATTGATCGTCTTATTGAACCATCATCTCTTCGACTCAGAAGTATGTCTAAAAATGCAAGCTGGTGGCAACTTTCTTCCTTGCATGTAAGACTTATATGATTCTGTAGAGTTACGTCTATCTAATAGACAACTTGCATCTTCATGATAGTCACATATCAAAATAATATCGTCTACATTTCTCCTATAGAAGGGCAATTTAGAAGTTAAATCAAGTGACAAAATTTTCAACACATGACATGTAAACGTTCGCTAACAAATGTCCTAATGGACTCCCCATAGCAATACCATCCACTTGTCAAAAGTGTTCACCTTCACACATGAAATGGATGTTTTCAGTATATAACAGTAATAAATCATTCAAGTAAGTTAAAGGAAAAGGGGGTGAAAAACAACTGGAAGATATATAGTCACAAAGAATATCAAGAGTCTTAATCAACTTACATAATTCGTTGCGTATTGAACTTAAAACATCAGCTAAAAATTTTGCTAATTTATCTGAGGGAGAATGACACATTGATAGAATCAAACGTAATGGATTATCAACCTTATGAGTCTTGGGTAAGCCATAAAGGTTTGGAAAGTCAGATTCCATGGGTTTCAGTGGATTAAGATCCTCTTTATCGATAACTTCCATGCCATGAAGTTTTACTAAGCGAGAAGTTACTTATATAATCTCCAGAGGGAGTAGACTGATAAATGAGACTAAAAGATTGTCTGTGTTTTGAGTGGATTACAAAAAACATCAGATTATAAAAACAAACTAAGGAGAATACTTACATCAGTTTTGCCTAATTTTTCAAGTCGGTTATAGTCGGCAGCAATTACACCGACAGAACCCAACCCAGAACAAGTACCATTAGAAGATAAAGTCTTCTGAAGCCGATCGGCTAAGTTAAGCATATGATTACCAAGTCGTTGAAGTTCAAAAATTAATGAGGTTTGATCCCTGACTCAGAAAGTATAACTTCACTTTTCTTATTTTTAAAAGCATCAGTACATTGGGATATTTCAGGTTTGTTTATTACTACAAAAAATAAAAACACAGAAAATTAGAAATAATTATAGAGATTTCAAGAACGAAAAGGTATTAGAATCTTCATTGAATGGAAAGTATTCATCACTCAGGATACAGTCAGCAGTCCAAATTCGGATATCATTAGTCTGTCTGTCTATTTTTAACATCGAACTTTGCACCGATGTGCAGCAGTTCAAGTCGCCTCACTCCATGTAGCACACAAAGCAAGAGAAAGTAAGAGAAATGCATAATAGGGATAGTACACAGGGATATGAGACAAAAGGAATAGTAATAACGAAGGGCAATATAGTTTCATTAGGTATTATAAGTCGCAAGGAGTGGATGCATCTGCACCATTGAGAACGATTTTGAGCCATATCACCATTTGTATCCAGCCATTGGAGGGAGCGATTCGCATGCCAAACATTCGCAGATTGCATCTCAAAGTGTTCAGAAGGCTCTGCATTTTGTCAGCGTCTTCACCTAGAAGGACTACATCATCTGCATATTCTAAGTCAGCAAGACTATTATTTGGTAACAAGTCAGTCCCTGAGTCGCTGAAGTCAGCAGTTAGGGTCAATCCAATTAGTACACCTATGATGAAATTGAATAGAAACGGGGACGGTGGACATCGCTGACGCATACCACTAGTTGTTACCACTTCAGATGACAACTCACAGTAGACTGTCACCTGGCTGGCTGCATGAGTTCGAGTAGAGTGAGTGGCTTGATCAGTTCAATGTATTTTCTCCGAATTCCCTTTACAGCCAAGCACCTCTAGAGAACCTCTCGGTCGACAGAATCGAATTCCGCCTTTAGGTCAAGAAATATAATGATTGTTGGACACCGGTAGGAATTACTATGTACTAAAATCTGTCGGATAGTGAAGATATGATCAATACACCCTCTTCCTGGTCTAAAGCCTGCCTAGCTCTTTCGTGTTTGTGCCTCCCGAGCACCACTTAGTCTACATATGGTTACCGATTCTAGAACTTTAGATACCATATTGGTCAAGCTAATCCCCCTGTGATTATCTCAGAAAGACATTTATCGCGTGTTGTATATCAGGACAATCAAAGACTTACATCAACCGGACGGGACTTCCTCGGATTCCCAGACGCTGCTTAGTGCCTCAGTTAACGCAGACAGTAAACTGTCTCCACCGTACTTAAATACCTCTGGAGTCATTCCATCAGGTCCGCTGCTTTTCCTTGTTTCAGATTAGTGACAACCTTAGTAACCTCAGTTAGGGACGGAGGACTTGTGTCTGTATCCCATTCAGGGAGGTGTTGGATGTTCGGCAGGTTGAGCGTGGCTGTAGGACAATTAAACTGCTCCTCCTAGTGTTCTTCCAACGTCACAGTCGTCTATCCTGGGAGCTAATTATGGTGCCATTTTTCTCAGAGATTGTTACACTTGTCATTTGCTTTACCGCCTGTTTCCCTGATAAGTCTAAATAGTTGTCTGGTGTTAGCAATCGCCGATGCCTTTTCCATCTCTTTCGCTTTTGTCGCCCACCACTTTTCACGGTCGTTACGAAGACTTCTTGCTAGTTTTCGCGTGAGTGGCTTTCGCTCCTCATCATAATCGGAGCTAGCCAGAATCAGTCTTCTTGCGTCAGTTAGTTCGGATGAGGCGGTAGAGATCCAATGGCCCTTACTAACATTAGGTTTCAGGTTATTAACACAGCTTTTACAGCTGTCTACAGTTAACTGTATGTTGTGCCATCCAGGCTACCTCAGAGGAAGTCCTCCTGTCGACCTCAGATACACGTTTCGCTATTTCCTCCTTATATAGGGACACAGAGTCTCGATCTAGTAGGGGACGTAATTGTTTCGCTGCCAGCAATTTCTTATGTCCGTTTAATCGTAAGCATAAACGTGCGCGGACCAGAGCGTGACCACAGTCTGCGCACGTATTCCAAAAGGAGCGGCAGTCGTCTAATGAGCCTCGCCAACGATACCCTATCACTGTGTGGTCTATCTGGGTCCAGCGTTGATTTGGTGATGGAGGTCGCCAGGTATCTTTAGGCAAAAAAGTAGTAGTATTTTCAAAAAAAAGTTAGTGAAGGAAGGTAAACAAAAAGTAACTTCACTATGTCTACAAGGCACTTATTACTGAATGTCTGAAAAATCACTTCTGGAGGGAACTAAATCGCGAAGAGTGAACCAACTGAAAAAAATTAATTAGTGATATTAACAAAACTAGATTATTAACGACATTTTCAATGATTATGTTTTTAGGCTATTCATAAAATAATAATAAACTAGAAGATAGATTTAAATGCACTTTTAGATATGTTATGTGGGGTGAAAAATTTTTGCGAATTAGTACAGGGGATGCAATTCCTTACACTTGTTTGTTTTTGTATATACAGCCGTGAGATCTAGATTGCAGTGGTTCGCTTTGACAGATGGTTAAAGCTCATCGGCAGGAAGCCTTGAACCTAGGTTTCCAGCTTATTGGGGCTAGTCACCAAAGTGTATCCGCAGTCACGAAGGAAATCATGTCCCTTCTGAGATTTAAGCCCGGGTCAACTAGTGCTGCAGTCAGAGACGTGACTACTGAGCTATTCAGACACACGACTGACCTCCTGCATCAAATTAAGGATTAAACGCGTGACAGTTAATACCTAATATCTGATCAATGTGGTTTACTTTCGTGTGAAGCTAAGTACTGTTTATGGTATTTGTCTTGCTACCTATTTATATAGTTCTAATTTTACCTAATTTCATTGCAAGAGCAGGAGAACTTTGATGACACAAAGTAAGGCACCTTCTGCTGCCTGTGTTTAGTGTAGATTTGACAAACAAAACTTCCTTTATGCTGCTTTTTCCCATGCGCCTAAATAGACGTTTGAGACTTTAAAAGAAGAGGATTCAAACACAAATGACTTGCTGCTTTGTGCAAATATAATAAAGGATGCAGGCGGAAAAGAACTTAAGAACCCATTAACGTGGAAAAACACTGGTAAGAGAAGTTTTGTGGATTAGGTGGTCGTAGACAATCATCAAGAAGGCTTGGACCTAGATTACGTGCTTGTTGGCCCTAGTCAATAAGGCATATTTACAACCTCGAAGAGCTCAAGGTCTCATCAGAGATCTGCACCACCCAGGGCAGCAGCCAGAAACACTACCACTGGGCTATTCACGCTCACGACTGACCTCTTAGAGAATTGTGATCTTAAGCATTGGTATCAATACATAAATCATCCATGTGTTAAACAATTCACAAGTAGAAAACCTGATCGCCAGATACTAGAGAGATGGTGGATAGATACACGCTTACAAAGCAAGAGGTTTTCACTACACAACTCATCTAATCTAACTCAAGATCATTTTGCACTTCTTCAAATGTTAGGTTTCCAACATGCTGCAAATCTTTTCCTGTCACCTGATTAACAGAGTGTCAGTATACAGACAAAAACCGGGCTAGATGGTTATTTTCACAGATATATATATATATATATATATATATTCATCAATTCAATTGCTCCGGTGGAGAAAGTCACAGTAGTATACAACTAGACGGACTAACCAATACTTCATCATGACTGGGTAAAAGACAAATAAGATCTATCTGAAGCTCCTCTATGTCGTAACGTCGGTTTGAAAGTGGTTACTTGGTAGATAAAACGAAAGGATCTGAGATTATCCACCGCATTCTGTCAAACCTTCTTAATGAATTTCGCATTCCTCCAATTTATGTAACTGGTACTACTTACTTTTAAACTAGTCATGCACTGATTAGTTAAATAATTATGTTTTTGTTGCCCGGGGAAAACTTAACTATACTCTTCCCTTATATATATATATATATATATATATATATATGGTTTATGGTTAAGATATCATTTTAGTTAAATGTACTGAACTATATTGCATGTTGTCTTATTGTATAGTTGTCGTCGCTTTTTGCCCTTTTTTCTGTGAACTGTTTCCTTTGTTGATGTTGTTCTCATTGTTTGTCCGTTATTTTCTGATTTTGAGGGGAGCAACCCAAAAAGTTGCTTCTCTCTAAACTTTTACTTAATGTAATCATTCTTTTCTCAGGCGTGAGGCTAGCAACCCCACCCTGTAAACAAAAATTGCTAAAGAAACTTCAGTATGTTGAACCTCCTTGCACCAAAAGAAAAAGTCTGTGTAGGAACATGGAACGTCCGAACTATGTACGAGACTGGAAAGCTGCCCAGATCGCCAACGAGATGAAAAGATACGGAATACAAGTGCTGGGAATATGTGAGAGCAGATGGAATGGGAGTGGACTCACCAAATTGTCAACAGGTGAGTCAGTGATCTACTCCGGTCACCCAGAAGATAACCACACGCACACCGAGGGCGTGGCTATCATGATGTCACCAACGGCAACGAAAGCCCTGATACAATGGGAGGCGATTTCGTCCAGGATAATGACCGCCAGGTTCAACTCCAAAGGAAGGAAAGTGTCAATCATACAATGTTATGCACCCACAAACAACGCAGACCTCGAGAAGAAAGAAGAATTCTACAGGCAACTACAGGCAACAATGGACAATACTCCAGCTGGCGACATGAAAATACTAATGGGAGACATGAACGCCAAACTGGGACCAGACAATACGGGAAGGGAACTCATCATGGGTAGAGAAGCTCTAGGAGAAATGAATGAAAACGGAGAACTCTTCGCCGACTTCTGCGCCTTCAACGAACTGGTGATTGGTGGCAGTGTATACAAGCACAAAGATATCCACAAGGCTACATGGGTGTCACCAGACGGGCAAACCAAAAACCAAATCGACTTCATCTCAATCTCAAGGAAGTGGAGGCGCAGCCTACTGGACACAAAAGCAAGAAGAGGAGCAGACGTTGGCTCAGACCACTATCTCGTACAAGGGACAATCCAAATCAAATTAAAAGCTTTCAGGGAATCAGGAGCTGCAGATAGACCACAAGCCAAGTTCAACACTCAAAAGCTGAAGGACCAGGCTACAAAGGACATCTTCATTGCAAGCATAAAGGACAAAGCCGAGA